AAAACATGCATGCTACCACTGTGGTTTCATTACACTAACCTAGCTTGCCTGAATGCTGGCCCATAAGATGCACGCCAGTCACGGAGACAAGAGGCCGTAACACGTCTCTACAGCTCTGACCTTGGTTGACCTGGTCTGGTGAAAGATACTCACAGCAATGGATGTGACGAAGCGAGTAAAACCGATTGACGTTGGTCTCTTCTTGCCCGAGGAGAGTATGCAGAAAGAGGCTCCCGGTGAGGCCACGGTACCATGACGAAATAGTAAATCGGTCAGAATGTAGCTGACGCTGAGGCGAGAGTAAGAAGGGAGAGAAGAGGGTCGCATTGCGAGAGTAGAGCACCGCAGGCTCAAGTGACCAATCCGTCTGCGGCGAGACACATTTTGTCGTACGAGCGACAGCAAAAAAATAGGTCAGACAGACAGGCGAGCTGATGATAAAGCGCAGACGACAATTGTGCAAGCAGAAGTATCGATTTCTTCGCCAGCAGTTTCAGCCAATCAGCGAGGTGTGGATTGCCTTGCCAAGTCGCTGATTGGTCGACGCTCGACGGCTAGGCTGATTGTCCGCCTGGCAGCCTGCCTGAACAGCCTGTGTCTGACTAACCAGGACCCGGTTAATAGGCGAACATTCAGCCAGCCGCATATGGTGCCTTTCTCTCCCACATTTTGCATGTCGCCTCGACCGGCCTGCTGACACTCTCGGGACACTCGCGGCAGTGACAGTTTTGTCGTTGTCCGGACAACGTTCTATCACAAGGATTACTTTGCTCCGCCCACCAGCATGCCTCCTCGGACGCCGATGCTGGCGGCGAAGGTTTGAGTCGTCGGGGCAGTGACAATGGCCACTCTTCCCTCGGCCTACCCGAGCGGCGGAGACCTGTCCGGCGGCATGGATCCGTCGTGGTCCGGCGGCGCCTTCTCGGACTCCAGCCTGGCGTACGGGGCGCCGAACGGCGGCAGCGCGGTGAGCGGACTCGTGGACGGGCTGCGCGTCGACGGCTCGTGGGAGCTGTGCGTGCTGGTGGACGACATCGGGGCCGAGGTGAAGGTGCGCGTGAGCGGCGACCTGCACATCGGCGGTCTGATGCACCGCGTCTCCGAGTGCGTCAGCCTGAAGCAGAGCTGGGCCGACCACGCCATCTGGTGGTCGGAGCGCAACATGTGGCTGCTGCACACGCGCACCACTTTGGACCAGTACGGCGTGCAGTCGGACGCCAGGCTCGTCTTCCGGCGCACGCACGGCAGCCTGCAGGTCGTGCTGCCCTCCATGAACGTCGTCGTGCTCAGGGTCGGCTATGCGTCTCGCCTCTTCTCCGTCGTGCGCAGCATCTGCGCCCAGCTCAGCATTCGCCATCCCGAGGAGCTGTCTCTCGCCTTCCCCGTCAGGCGCGCCGACCTCAAGGCCAACAACCCGCTGCCCATCATCCGACACGGCACCAACAAGTCCACTCCGCTGGCCGCCATCGGCACGGCCCGCTCGGACATGCCGTCGGCCCATTCTGCGCACACTCCGCTCGCCGCCTACGCCACGCTGAGGCCGACCGACGCCGGCAGCCCGGCCAGCCCCTACGGCACTCTGGGCCACGGCTCGGCCAGCCTGTCGCGCGTGCAGTCGGACGGCTCGTTGGACCGAGACCGGCCCGACGTGGCCCGGCTGGCCGACTGCGCGGCCCGCGTGCCGGCCAAGTCGGTGTTCGCCGACGATTGGCTGCTGAGGCCGAAGGGCCTGCAGCAGAAGGCGCGTCTGCACAGCGGCTGGCTCGACGTGTCGCGCAGCTTGATGGAGCACGGCGTGGAGCCGCCGTCGCCGCTGCAGGAGGCGGACAACGCGAAGCCGCCCACGCTCTA